TCTGTAGAAATCCCATGGTTACGACTGACTGCCGTGACGGCTGGACGTGCCGGCGGCGGCTAGTTAGTAGTTTAATTTTTTACATAATATCTGTTTATTTTTTATTTCTTTCTCCTGTTTTTAGATATTCGGCGGGAAAAACAGCCCAATAAACCGAATACCGAATAGTAATCTAATATTGGTTGCAACTCTAAAAATTTCACATTAAACGTAGTTTATTTTACATACTTTGTATTATTTTTATGACTTTCAGCCCTTTTGACGTATGATGAATGAACAACTACGTCAACTTTATTTTTTGGTTATATTCTGTTATTTTTGTAAACAGCCATATTTATTTCTATTACTATTATGCTCCCCGAATTTCGTAAAACAAAAGTAAAGAAACAAAAACAAAATAGGAAAAAATAAACTAATTTTGTATAAACAAAAAAAAGAAAAAAATAAACAAAGAACAGGTCCAAATATTAAGTTGGCGTAGTATTTATTGGAGGTACCGATATGTGGCTTTATTATACTAAAGGTTCGGATTTTAGTTAATATATTATTTATTATATATTAACTAAATATATGACGTCAACAGCACGACTTGACCCGTTGCTTGGAGAGGCACTCCTTATTTTATGTCATCCACATTCATTCAGAAAAAAAACATTTAATTTCAAATCATCCCTTGTAATCGGATCTTTACCACGTCCCTATAAATCCGATAACCATTTACGCCAACGCGGCTTAATTAATTTTTTTCGGGATCAACAATCCAAATACAGCCTAAAAATTGCCATTTCGCAATTATATTATTTACGTGTCTCGATCAAATGAAATCAGACCAAAACATTAATTGTATATGCATCTTAAATATTTGTTTTTTAAGCTTGTTGTGTCCTACTTCTGGTCACAGGCTTCTCCTTTCGTTTGGAGACACACACAACCAAACCCTTTGATTGTTTATATTGTAAAAAAATATTATACACAGAAATAGTAATTAAAAACAGTAACTGAGTAGAGCATTTATAGACTTAATTGCACATGCGTATTTCCAGTCATCTGAATAAAAATTAGACACACTACGAGAAACAAATGAACAACGTTTGATGTACGTCATCCACGTGACCGATATTTCAACAAGACGTATTTAGTAAGACGAACATGACACGAATAGGTATAATTTCCGCTGAAACCACTACAATGGCAAGTAATAATAATAGTAGCAAGAGTAGGCAAAGGGTCTCGCATGCCAATTAAACTTGGAATGATACCTCTGGGAATAACTACCGAGCGCAGCACGCAATCTACCATCCACATAGTACGTAACGAGTATAAATAAAGTTATATTATTCACATCAAGTGTTTGATGCGATTGAGCGGTGATAGTCCAGTGGGAAAACGGTGGGCGGTGCGAGTCCTTATGACAGCTTATACCTATGATAGAAATTAAAGTTACTTAATGAATGTTTTAGTTACAATACCTCTACCTCTAGCTACCGGTGACTCCAAATTTTCAAACTCAAACAGTCTTTATTTCATACATAAGCAAATTGCACTTGAAAGCGTCATGTTGATTAAACTTTACTGATCATTCATAAGGCAGTTTCAAAAGAATGAGCAAGAAACTCTAGGGGTTGCTCTTTGTAAATATACATTTCTACACATTTATCATTTGGGTACAATATTTATTTTAAACATCATAGATCCAGACTACCTGCAAGAGCTGTAGAGCTCCTTGTGAAAGAGTTCGTATAAAGAGTTCGTATAGGGAAGTACCTATTTCTGCCGCCAAGTAGTAATGTGAGTATTACTGCGTTTTGGTTAGAAGGGTAAGGCTGCCCGTAATTTCACCAGCACGGTGAAATTACAGGCACATGAGACTTGCCTACTTATGTCTCAGGGTGTTGGGCGCAGTGGCAGTGCCCCTCAGATCTTTCTGATTTAAAGCAGTGATTGGTACTGCAACTGTTATGGACAGGCGTGTCACTGACCACCAGGTGGACGACTTGTTCGTCTTCGTTTTTTCACGAATTTTTGTCATCCAAATTGCAGAAGCTGTATAATAACGTAAACTGTATAAAGTTTTTGTTTCGCTGTTTTAGACCTCGTGAATTGCAAATTTTAATAATCAACCGGATTCTTATTATGAGTTTTGTGACTCTATGAGGACGACTTTCAAGAACAGCTAGTTTATTTTTATTTTTCGTATTAATGTTATGTCTGTCACTATTTTTCATACAACAATTACTACTCTTTTTAACATAAATTAGTTTTTCACGAATGTACTGTGACGCTAGTGTAAGAAAATAAGTTTTTTAAACTGATCTCTCAAAAACACTCTGGGGCCCAAATTATAAGTTGCCCTTCACGATGAACACGCTTCTCGATAGGTTTACAATCCTTTGAAAACGTGTTAAGTCCCCAACCTTCGCTGCCACCGTGGCAGACTATGGTCTATGGCCTTCTTTGTTATTATCGTGCATATATAACCACTTCAAGCGAGGGTGGAAGAGAAACTATCGATTTTCACTTTCTATGATCCAGCCTTCAACTCTGGCATTAAAACGGCTGTAGAAAATTGTTAATTATTCAGAATCTAAATTGCGCATTTAGTACGTTTTTACATTTTTTGTATATCGAGTTCTTGGGTTTTCGCGATTGTTACACATAGGAAATGAAACTATTTTTCCGGATTTAAATCGCGTATATTTGTTTTTTCAGTTCATTTTTTGTATATTTCAGAAACCTATAGTCAGTTGTAATGCTTGAAGGCTTATGAGAAATGCTATTTTAAATAAAAAAGTCTCTCCCAATAATAAAAAAAAATACTTAATAACTTTGCTGGTTTTTGTAGTAACACAAGTATGTCAAGTATATAATATCACAATATTAAATTATATAATACAAGTATATAATATCACAATATTAAATTGGAAAAAAGGCACGTATTAAGAAGGACACACAAACTACGAATATAGGACTTAATGCCATTAGTCATTCTCTACCAATTAATCATTGTACCAAACAAAAAGCACAATTATTATTGTAGACTGTAAGCAAAAATTTGATAGTGAGTATAATATGCAAAATTCGTATACTTTTAATATAATATAACATAAACATACATAATTAGTCAATGTACATAATACAAATTTAGCAAAGGAACTTCTGAAATAAAATCATCAAAATATGGCAGTGTTCTTTCAAAAGTGTAGTCACGTATTTTACTGTTTTATTTTGGGTTTAAATTTGAAAATAAAAATTGTCGACTGCAATTTTTTTCATTTCGCGTTTCTTGAGTGGTTCGAGTTTGATTTTCCGTTCTTATTAATTGTGATAACTTTATTTGTAAAAGTCTTTGCAAAAGTTTGATTTAATCAATATTAAACAGTTACATTTTGAATTTTCAGCTGTATCCTACCTTGTCACAAAATATGCAAAAAATTATTTTTTAGTTTCTGTTTATTTTTTGAAGATTGAGTCAATTGCTATTTTAAGGTTTTTTTTAAATAAAGATAAAAAAAGAAAATATAAAATAGCAACTCACCGTTGTTATTTTATATCTTTTTTTGATAAAATAAATCAGCGCGCATTTGACCACCTCCTTTTCACCTGATGAAAAGTGACTATGAGGTCGACGATGGAGAGATGTATATGCTCTATAATGCCTATTCAGTCTTGCATTGAAAAGGCCCAAAACGTTAAGGGAATAACTCCGCAGGCATTTCAATATATATTATAAGGGATAAGGATAGGAAGAAGAAGAAGATTCTTACTTTTTTTATTCCCTCTAAATGCGCCGATATGTATACATAATAAACATACTGTGCAGAGCCTTGATCTTAAAAATTCGTCAAAAAGATATCGAACATATTCAAATTTTCTCGGAAAATGTTATTTAAAAGTTTGTTTTTAATCAGGTTAGGTTTTTATCGAAAATCGCGAGAACGAGACGGGTCAAGAATATTCGATTACATCGTTTGGATTTTCGTCCTTTCATCTTTTCTATTGAAAATATGTTATATATTTTGTTTTAGTCAAATTTTACTTAAATAAAGTTAGAACGAATAAAATATGAAGATGAAATAACACCGTTCAAATTAACACCGCTCTCCCGAGAGCGGTTGTTTCTTATTTAAGAGGTCCACAGTTCCAATCCCTGTGACGGCATGAAGTACCTGTACTAATTTACGTTCTGTACCTGCATGTTGAATAAGGTTTACAACCCTAAGAAAGCGTGTGAGATCGCCAACCCACATTGGGCCAGCAAGGCGAACAATCCACCTAAGTCCTCGTTTTTGAGGAGAACCATTCTCAACAGTGGGGCTTATAATAGGTTTTTGATAATGATGATGATGAAATAAATTCGGTTTAGCAATGAATACCATGTTTTTATAATAAATATTCTTATATTTGACTGTTACTATTTTGTACTAAGTTAACGACATTGACTTTTCTGAGATATAACCTCCTAAGGCCACGTGTACATTTTGTTTATGATACCAAGAGAGGGGACGAACAAGTCGAGTACCTGGTGTTAAGCGACACGCCTGTCGAAGTTTCACAAGGAGCTCTACTGCTACTACACATTTATATTATGTGAAGTGATTTAGACCCAGATAATATTATTATTTTTGATCACGTAAACGCCCAGGGTACATTATAATGTAAACGTAGCATTCAAATTTAACGTTATATATTTTATAAGACCATAGAGTATCTAGAAAAAATCCTTTTTTATACAAAATTGAGGGCATCCTTGCTTTAGGCCTAGATCGTGTAAATTATATTTAGTACATTTTAATGTACATTAGGCGTTTAGCTCTTTTCTCAATGTAGTTTGCTCTCTCTTGTCTCTTTGAAATCAGATACAGAAAACAACAATACCGACAAATAGAAAAATATACATGAAAATGATAAATAAATGTAACTAATGAAAGCATAAAACAGTAACTTTACATGCTTCATTGGTATTATTATATTTTTATATAATTTATTAATTTTGTCCACAGCCACGGCGAAGACTTGATCGTGACGCCGTTCGCTCAGGTGCTAGCCAGCCTTCGCAGCGTCCGCAACAACTTCCTTTGTCTCACCAATGTTCCTGTAGGGAAGTAAGTAAACATATTTCAATAGTTGACAATAATCGATAAGCTGAAATGTAACCCTCACAGTATAGATTAAATAACTACACTTGCGGACATATTATCCGAGCCACCTTGCATTTTTATTCTTAAAAGGCCTGGAATACTAAAATATTAAGTGTTTTATTGAATGTCAGGATGTTTCACCACCATGATATTCAATTTTTTTTTGTGAAATCACTCCACTATTTTGTTATAATTATTAATAGAAAGATCGAACACTTAAAAAAATTCCTTCGATCCGGCCGGATTCGAACTGACGTCTTCTAGCAAACCGTGCCAGACGAAGAACACAAATATTGTTACTTACTACCGAAGAAAAAATTTACCCCACTTTAACAAATTCTAATTTAAACAAGGACTTATAGAAATTACTTATTGTATAATACCAGGTTCAAAATTTCATAATGCAAAGTGGCTTGAATTATTTGTCCGGGAGTATAATTCCTCATTCTGACTTAACATTGAATTAAAACGTCAACACTATAGTCTCATTTCAGGGTCCACAATTAAAAAAATCAAATTCTAATCATTTATTTCGGAATATTACATCCATATTATTATTATACAAAATTCACAGCGCTATGTGTGCGCCTAAAGTGTTAGGGTCGCCTTACTATACTTCACCCAAAGGCTACACGTGTAGAAAGTTTGACAGTATACTTTAAAAAGCAACAGAAAACATCTCATTGTCGTATTACATTTTTGATAAATAAATAATAAACAATTTAATTTAAAATCGAATTATAGTTGATGATAGTTTTCGCAATACCCTCAGCCGTTTGTAAATTATTATTAAGAGCTTCGGTGCTATATTTGATTCGGTGCTGTATGTATTGTTTGTTTGTTCAACTCTAAAGGCTCTGTTCGTTAAATGTAAAAGTATAATAAATTATTGCTTGTTAATATTTCTCTTCTCTTTAAACCTCAATGTAAAAAGAAGGAGTTATAAGGTTAAAGCTTTTAGCTGTGCGTCATTTTGTGGCATCGTAGCTCCAAAACGGACGGACTGATTTTAAAGCGGGGTTTTTTAAGGCCAATTTCATCGTTGGTTAGTCTCGGCTATATTTGATGATCATCTTTTCAGTTATTTTAAGATCATCAGCATTTTCTCTGTTAGTATAGGGATCTCAATCATAAAATGAATATTTCTAACGGACTTCAAACAGGAAGAAGTTCTCAATTGGACTGTATTTTTTTTGTGAATGTTACGCAATTACTCCGCGATTTGTGAACCGATTGTGTGACCGTGTGAGGAATGATTCTTTTTTGTGGGAAAGAGGATACCTCAGTATTGGTCCCTATGGATTTGAAAAAAATACGCCATGTATAAGGGTCGCAAACTAGCGGATGAATCAGGTTTCGCCCACTCCACGAATTTTTCGAGTCGGGATTTTTTTGTAAGAAAATTTTAATTATACTTCCACTTGTCCGATTGACATGAAATTAAGTACACTTTGGAAGTCCGTTGAATTTACAAGAATATGGTAATCTTAAGAGACTCCCCCCGCACTGGCGTCTTCCAAGCGTAAGCGTCTTGCCAACGGACGCACAGCGTCGACACGACGACCGCGCGGCGGCGACGCTACGTCAACGCAGCGTATACCCGACGTTCGGCACTACTTAGAGGGTCTCTTCCCGCTCTCCATCCGACATTCTTCCGAAACAATTACTGTCAAATTAGTAATGAACGGGAGTAGATCCTTAGCTGTCGCTCACTGACGCCGCCGCCGCCGCGCGGACGTCGTGTCGACGCGCTGTGCGTACCTTGGCAAGACGCTAACGCTCGAAAGACGCTAGTGTGGAGGGTCCCTAAGATTATGGTAATCTTAAGATTACCATATTACCAGACTAATCTAATCCTACAATCAAGATAGTCTGCAGACTACCCAACTCCTTAACTACTTACAATAGAACTATTGTATTTGGATTTACTAAATTGGTCACGACAGACGAGTTGTTAGCTTACAGAGGCTTTATAGACTTTTTGGGGTACAGAATGGGTACAGAGTTTTGTTTTGGGGATTTTTAAATTTTCACTTAAGTTTTTACGTATGAGTTTAATATTAATATGTTTTCGAATTCATTATCATCGTTTCAGCCGAAAGGTGTCCGCTGCTGGACATAGGTCTCCCACAAAGAACGCCTCAATCACACAAATTTTCGAATTCAAATCCGATACTGTGTTCCTAACGACTGAATTCTTATTTAGAAACCTAATACCGCATTTGCTTCTATTAATTCTAGCCCGTATAAATAAACAGTAAATCGGAAGCCCATACTTTAAAAACAAACACGTATGACTCGTGAAATCGTAAAAGTTAATTCATCTTCTTAATTACTATTTTAAACTTTTATTACTCTCTATTTTCGATTCAGTGCTATCGTACTCGATAGTGTATCGTTAATCCTGTTTATGAGTTCTCGTCGCTTATCAGTCCGTATATTGGTTTATTTTACAAGTTAATAGAGATGACTTAAGGGCGCGATCAATTTAAACGCTTATAGAAGCGCAACAGTGCCGCCACTACTAATTTTTGTACAATATTTAGTAGCGTAGTTGCAGCGCCACTGTCGTGCCACAATTAGAGCGTTTACGCACTACGTCCGATTCGTTTCCGAATCCGAGTAATAATGGTCCGAAATGTCACAAGGATCATTTTATCTCTAGATACCTAGATACAAGCGATATTCGTATGCGGAACGAATACGAATCGGATGTAATGCGCAAACGCGTTTAGTGAGCTAAAAAATTACTGAAGCGCTACAGACGCACGGCTACTGCGCCACTGTAGCACTTCTACAAGCGTCTAATTTAAGGACACCCTAAAAGTTATTTAAAGACTTGCCTATAAAACGTAAATTGACTTGGCTTGTTTAGGGGCTCATTTCCATTGATACGGTAACTGAATCGAACGTTATTGGGTTTTAGCGTTGAATTGGCAATGAAGTAATTTAAACACGTCATCAAGTTTAAGGGCCGATTCTCGTGCGATGTAGAGAAATCTTTAAAAATAACATGGCGAATATTGATCGCAAACAGTTTCTACTCTTCTTTTTTACTCTCAGAATCTCACAATGGACATAAGTAGACGCTCCGCGCTCGATATGTTCTGAGACGGAAAAATTAGGAATGTCGAGATAGATTTAATAACGTAATGGTTACATTCGCTTTAGATATGGTAAAAATGTTGACTTATTTTTTTTTATAACTTTTCACCCATTTATTTGAGAAGGCAAAGGTTCTACCATACAGCCACTTCATATATCAGTCTTTTCCTTATTTTGATGGAAAAGGCGACAAACGCCTGGTGTTACAATTTGACAAATATCATTAGTCATTAGATTAGTAGCAGGAGAGCTCCTTGAGAATGAGTTCGTCTAGGGAAGTATTGCCTACTTACCTATTTCTGCCGCCAAACAGTAATGTGAGCATTATATCGTTCCGGTTTTGAAAGGCAAGAGTGTTGGTGAAATTACAGGCACATTAGACTTGTCAACTTATGTCTCAGGGTGAGAGGTGCAGCGGCAGTATCCCTCTGATCTTTGCGATTTAAAGCTGAGCTGAGTGGCAGTGCAACCGTTATATACAGCCGTGTCGGTTAACACCAAGCTCACGACTTGTTTGTCCTGTCATTTGGTAAAAAAAAACTATTTTGATACTGAAAGAACACAAGTATATGCATTCCATTATTGATAACTCTTGATTTTAGTGTAAAAATTTTTAAGTTTATTGAATGAAACGATATTTATCCTCCATGATATTCAATTATTTCTGGGAAATTACACTTATAACTTATTATAATTATTAATACAAAGATCGAATACCTAGAAAAAAATCCTTCGATCTGACTGTGCCAGACGCTATGCCAATTAAATTTTAGTGTAAAAAGTTATTATCATGCTTTGAATAAAATGTATAAAAACGAAATGAGTATGACTGGAAAATCTTCAAAATCCTACCTATCATGACTCTGAGATTTTTTTGTGTACTGTACGGATTTTGGTGATTTCTGTAGACACTGAGAAAATGTCACGAGTTCGAGAATCGTTCTCTAGAGGTTCCTAACCGCTTAATTCAAAGGTCAACGTGACAAAGTAGAAATTGTGTGGGATTTAACATTTCACGCTGAACGTCAGACTTGATTGCATTTGTAATCAAATCAAAACGTATTAACCGACTTCAAAAAAGGAGGAGACCTCCTCTTTTATTGATTCGACTGTATGCTTTTTTGGAACGTATGTTACTCGATAGCTCCGGTGTAACAAATTTTTTGGTTTTTAGTTTTAACAAATTAGTGGACTGATTTCAACTATTCTTTTTTGTTGGAAAGAAGGTACGCCAGTTTTCGTTCTATTTAAATTTGAAGAACATATTGCGCCTCTAAGGGTGGCAAACTACGGGATGAATCCGGTTTTGCGCACTTTCCAGTTACCAATTTCAATAAAACTTGGCAAATAGACGTAATTCCACGAACTTTTGAGGTCGGTATTTTTTTAACAAAAAAGTTATTTATATTAATATTTCTTATTTTAATATTATATAACATTTTTGATATTTCTGTTTTTTTAATACCACATAGTAAACATTCTCATCAGATTTAAATATACTAATTCTAATACACTGTATTGAATAAAATTGTTAAATCCACACATTATGTTACGTCATGTCATTTTTTTTAAGCTACCGTAGTATTTTGTAATTGGCATTAAACCTCTATATTGGTTGTTTTTTTATAACATCATGTGACGGGACGAACAAGTCGTGCGCCTGATGGTAAGCTATACGCCTGTCCGTAACAGTTGCAGTGCCACTCAGCGTTTTAAATTGCAAAGATCCGAGGGACAAGGGCAAGGGGCTGAGACATAAGTTGACAAGTCCCATGTGCTTGTAATTTCACTAGCACCCTTATCCTTCAAAACCGGAACGTAATAATGCTAATATTACTGCTTGGCGGCAGAAATAGGTA